GCTGTTGATAGTAGCCAAGACCAGGTCACATGCTTTGGCTTTTAATCGTTATTTACCCCCAAAAAAGTAAATAGAGATATATAACTGCAAGGCGCCGAGTAAATAAACAAATGGTTTACAGAATGAATTACAGCTATCTCTGGGGGAGGTCATTTTCAGGTTTTACGTCAGAGCATAGCTTTTAATGCCCCCACATACAGAAGACGTGACCTCCGTTTTACAAATATTCATATCAGCCAAGTAACGTTGTGTCAAAGCAGTTCCAGTGCCCTTGCTACTCTCACCGACACAACAGTCAAGATTGTTTTCACACTGCACTTCACAGTAATTCAACATACACCCGGTGCACCAGGTGCATTTGTGTGTACCACGTGAACAACCTTACGAAATCAGGGGCGCCCATGCAATATGCAACGGATATTGAACTTTCGTCATGTGAAAATTTACTGCCGTGTTGCTTTCGTTCAGATCGACTTGAATAGACCGTAGAATAACTAACCGTGAAAACCACTCGAACTTTCCTGATTGTTTCCTACAAACGTCAAGCACACTGATTCGTACACTTTTTTTACCGTCGAATTCTTTGCAGTGGAACCCCGTCTTACAACCATCACGTAAATACCGCACGGAGCGGGAACCAATCAACTGACGTGAGAAAAACTGAAACTGAAATGAACATGAGGTAGAGCCAAATTCAACGTGATAAATGTTCAATCACTGAGAAGAGGGAGAGAAAGTCTTGCATGGGTAGAGTAGTCTTTGATATACATTCATGGCTAAAACAGCTAAAAAGTACTGCCAAATCTACGACCTTGGAGGGCGGAAATTAGGGTTACATCATTCAAACGAAAGCATGCATTCCGGTGGCGTCTGTTAAGTTCCTTTGTCTCAATCGTGTTATTGTTATCGTTTCAATTCATTGCTTTGTTTGACGTAGCCACCCATTTGCGGCTTATAAATACGCGGAAAATAATGTGAAGAAAATGAAACTACCAGAAGCTGAACACGGCTTGCTACCTATTTGATTTTATTTCGAATATTTGAATCTTTAGCGAGCAAAGACAGTTGCAGTAGGTAAGTAAAACAGTCAGTTTAACATCGCGCCCAGCGCCTTTATGGCCCAGTTAATCGCTACAGCATCGAACTCGCGTAACGGTGAACATGGTGAAGAAGAAGGGAAGAATTAACTTTGTGTGAATTGACTCAGCACGTTAGTATAGGGCCCATGTAATAGCTCCTGTAGGCACACTCAGCGTATGCAATTGTAAAATTCTATCGCGAGTCTGACTGATTCTCCCATTGTTTTCTTGATTTAACCATTGGACGACGAGTTCGAGGTTTCTATGGACTGCGATCTCTGGAGTTCAAAGCTACTCATCAAATTTGCCAGTTCCCCATGCCACTTCCACCAAGTTCCTCCCTTCCTCCCATGATCACCTCTTATACTTGAACTTTCTCAGACATAGTTATTTCAGTTCTTTCATTATTCTACCTAATTAATTGACGTCAACAAACGAGAGCGTAACGGGGAGTTTGAATTTTGTGCTTCAGTACGTTGTGCCACCGGGGGACGTGATCAAAGCAACTGAGGTGAAGTAGGAATTATGCGTCCCAGTCTTTCTAGACAACAACAAAACGGTCAAGGTGTCGATCTATAGTCTCTTCCTCAATTTCTGCCGGAAACAACCTAAAAACGATAACAACGTTTCAAGTCTTTAAACTGTTTATGTATCTTATGTACCTATCCAATATATGTGACCGTCTCTTAATTATGCATCAAAACAAGATGGAGCAACTCAACCATAGACGTCAACAATATATTAATAATGATGAAAACATCAATAAACGGAAAAGCTACCTTAAACTTAATTGTCATTCTGTTCTTATTCTCTCGAAGGAACAAGACAAATAGTCTCCTCTCTACCTCTCCTCTCTACTTGTACTTCATTTTAACCCTGCCATCACAGAGCAACCAGAGATGCACAGGTTAATCAGCAAAGAGAAACTCAGCCGGCTGCTTCGCTTAACTCCTCTTATCTTAGTCATAGCTGGTTCTGTTTTAATACTACTGGGTAACACTGCTTCGGTAAAAAGCTGCAAGCTGGCTGGTCCCGTGGCTGTAGCTGTCGGTGGATTGTTACTACTTTTCATCGCAGTCTGGAGTTCACGCCAAGACAAGATCGTTGAAAACACAAATTGCGAAGAGGCTGTGATCGCGGCAGAACACAACGCCAATAGAACTGCCTTGAGCGCTGGCTCTAACGATCAGCTGGGACCGATTCATCACTTCGAAGTCAAAACATCATCGGAATCTCAGTCTTGGGAAGAAATGGTACCTCCTTCATACGAAGAAGCTGTTGACAATAATGACGGCGTGGGAACTTCGCAAACTAGCGCTGAAGTTGTACCAAGTGATGCGAAGGAATCGAATTTGGACAACACGACTTCTGCACTACCGTCTTACGAAGAAATTCAAGCAAATGCGAAGACAGCTTCATAATTCTCTCATTGGTTCTTATAAATTTACTGTAAATGAAGACCTCCTTCTTGGAAACGAAAAACGTGCGGACCAGGACTGTAAAGGAGAGAAAACGTTGTATTGATGAATTGCGGAAGTTAAGAAGTATTGCTTTTTATATCACAAGAAAATTGAGACTAACTTGCCGACAAAGTAAATTATCAGAACCTCCTTAGCAGAGCATTGTCATGAATTTGGCAGATTCGGGAATTGGTGAAAGAGATATTTTTAGAAGGATTTTTGATTGTTGACGGCTAAATAAGTTTAACGCTGGTGTAGAGGATCTGGTGTAGATTAGAATCTATCTTATTCCGAACGGAAAGAAATAGTCACTAGGAAAATAATAAACGATGTCGTCTGGCTAAGCCAATATCATTTTTTAGCAACACGTATGCCCTTTTATAGTGATTGGTGTATTCAAAGCGGTCTTCGATTTTATATGCAGAATCGTTATAAAACATACAATATAGTTAATCATTGCACTATAATTAATGACTTACTTTCAGCCGGCTTAGCATATTTCAAATAGTGGGTAAGGGTTAGAAAACGTGCAGGGAATTCAATTATGTCACAGAAAAACCAAGAGACATTCTCTTGAAAGAACTGAAATTTCGTCGGTTAACGCTTCAGGGAAATTTTATTTGTGTTTTCAATTCTTCAGTCAAAATTAGCGAATTAAGACTAGGTCGATATAATCGTAACATGATAGCAGCCCGATTGTTCCCACTATAAAACTAGCTGAACAAGGTATTAAATGGAGTTTTTTAGAAGGGAATATGTTTGTCCTTATTCATCACTATATTTAATCGGCTGAGAACCGGGGGTACTCTCTTATATAGGCTGTATAGGTGTGTGCGGCCCTAAAAGGTATGGTTTTTCAGCCGTTTTTTTCGTAAATAGGGTATTGATTTTAGCCCAGCGTAATTGGTCATGTTTGTTTTCAATTCTTGAGTCAAAATTAGCGAATTAAGACTATGTAATCGTAACATGATAGCAGCACGATTGTTCCCACTAGCTAAAAACTAGCTGAACAAGTTATTAGACGGGAATATATTTGTCCTTATTCATCACTATATTTAGATGGCTGGACCCGGGGGTACTTCCTTATAAGGGCTACATAGGAATGCGCGGCCCCAAAGGGTATGGTTTTTCAGCCGTTTTGGTCATAAACAGGGTATTTATTTTAGCCATTTTGCTCATAAATAGGGTATGGGTTTTACACTGTGTTCTCGAATGGGAAATGTTTTTGAGAAGAAGCTACTTTTTCATCATTATCAATAAGACCGATCAACAAAAGCCCTTCACGATGCCTTTAACATCGGTCTGAAACGGGGCATTGATTTAGGGTCAGGTCATAAATAGGGTATCAAATGTTTGGGCAGGTCATTACTGATAGGGTTGGGAAACTTGCAGATTTTGGTCATAAATAGGGTAACGGGAAGCGGGCCGCACAACCCCACCCAATTTTTCTCGGAGTACCATCCCCCGGGGAGGCTGAGTCATAGCTAAGAATTGCTGAGTTTTTTGAGCTGACAGTTCAACGAGATCTGAATTCGGCAGAAGTTACACTGGAAGCTGAGATGAGCTGAGAAATCACTGAAAAACTGATAACTCGGAAGATTCCGGCACAACAAATGCTCTATATAGATGAAGCCGTGAAATGTAGGAAAGGTCAAAACAAGTTCTGTATACACAGACACAGTTTAAGCACTTACTCGATGAACATTGAGGAAGTAAAGGACGAATTATCCATGGAGGAGTAGAAATACTCCTAGTCGCTTCATGCTACAGAAACGTACGCTGCGGCCTGATGGACCACTCGGCTCGTATGCAGACTTAACCCTTTTACCATATTTCATGGTAAAGAAACGCCAGTTTATATTGGTCTCTCCTTAAGCCTAATTATTGTTCTCCACACAGCTTAATACAAGAAGCTGTATTCTCACTCAATCTCATCTCAAATTAGGCTAAGCGATGCTTTACACTAGAGCTTGTAAATATAATCTAAGTGCGCTTGGAACCTACTTTGAGTGTGAAGGGGTGAAATGTCTTAGACTTACTCGAACTTTACTTAGTGACCATGGAAACGTTCGTGGATCAACGAAGCCGAAGGGCGCCGGCAAGTGTGGTCTACGCCACACGTGAGAACACATTTGACCGATAGGAGATGGAAGCCAACTGAAAGCGATGTGCAGCCGGTTGCTACAATTCTGACGAGGGGACCGATAAACAACTTGCTTGAATTTCAGGACAGCCTCACCACTGCTTTTCACATGCTCCGACACCAAATGCGTATAGGGTTATGGTTAGGGTTAGCCCCCCGCCCCGGCCTCCCACCACCGCCACCATCACCTCGGTGCTTCCTTCCTCCATATATCATGTCCTGTACCGAAACTGTTTCTCAGACAGTGTTTCAGCTCTGTCACGGTATTGCCATAGAGTTTGTTAAGTTCGCATAGGCATTACAGAACAAATTTGCTAAATCCTCACCTTGCAGTTGACTGTGCATGAGTTAAAATTAAACTACATGTAAACACTGTCGCGTGTTCTTTAGGTAGGATTTTACGCTTCACTCGTTTGACGTTCCGAGAGCAACACTTTCATACGATGGTGGAGAGGGATTCGTATCCGTCTCCTGTTCTCACCTGTATAACATGGAGGAGCTACACATTGCGTCTGCGTAGCTGTGTCAATAGTGTCGTCATTCGTGGTTACTTCTTCGTAAGACGGTGGATGGCCAATCATTCTCTTCAAGAGAAAGTTGATTTCTCTTCTTGATGACGATAAGTTACCATTGTGTGACTCGTCGTTGTTGCTCTGTTGTTCTCGCAGTATTAACTCGATCAATTGAACACTTTGAGTCGTAGAACTTTGAAGTTCGTTTATTCCCATTGCACCGGCTTCCGAGGCGTGTGCTGTCCTTTTAATATAACGCCACCAAAATAAACAGATTGCAGCCATCAATCCGAAAGAACACATTGTATACCCTCCCGTTTTCATTTGCAAACTGTCAGCTGTGACTCTAATAACCACCAAAGAAAGTCCGCATAGAATTAAGACCGTGATAGCGATGGCCGCCTTCAGCTGACATGAGCTGTGTGTAATAAGCCGTCTGTGATAACCACTGTACGAAACTTCGCTTAATTCGTCCATTTAAGGCTATTATACTAAATTACATATATACCACAACTATTACAGTTATTATAATAATTTTAGGTTTGATTTAGCTTTTAAAGTTGTAATTTACATATCTGCAAGGATACTAGTATCGTGCAAACGAAAAAAACATCTCATGTACTGAAAGTGTGGTACAAGGCGTTTAAAAGACGTTACTGTACACATTTTCGCGTTTAGTTCAAAACTCGATTTAACGGGTAGAAGATCTTCTTTTAACCGTTGAAGGAACAACATTGAATTATAATTGCAACATGGCTAAACAAACTGTTATGATATATCTATAGTTGAAAAAAAGAATTGGGACTTTTGAGCGAATATTATTTTTTTTAGAGCGCCGGCAATATGTGCTATTTTTCCAGTTTCGGCGGGCATGAAACTTGTGTCGAGCGGACCGAACTTCAATCAATCCTAGAAAACTTCAGTTGGAATTTTTAATGAAATAAAACTCATTTTAGTGATTGACTATTAAAATCAGTGGTCGGTTCTTACAGAGACAGCCTCTTAAATGGCTCCACACTTAATTGTCACACTGAATAAATCATGAATTTGTTTGTCAGAAAAATAGCCTTCGGCGGTCCGCTGATGCGTTTAAATAAGATAGATCAGTGTCTCTCAGCATGCAGGGTAATATAATCATTTTCTTTAACGAGGGCCAGGCGATCTTGTAGTCGAGGGAAGGACATCAGCGAGATCGCTGTGAAACTACCAAAGACAACAGTTCAAATTGCACATCACGAAGGACGCAGTGCTAGGCGTATTAAGATTTCTGAGGAGCTCACGCAGACGATTTCTGAGGTATTGATTAGCTACGGAATTAGGACTCAGCGTTTAGCTTGACTGAGAGATCTAGTCTAGTTGTCGAGTATACTTCGTAGATTTTAAGTTTTATAATTTGCCGGCGTCTCTGTAGGAACATACTGACAGCTTCGTATTAAACGCCTGTCGTGTGTAGGCAGTATTATTTAAAAATATGTACTGAGTCATCGAAAGTTCCGTGACCTTACTCTAGTTACTTCCCAAATGTTCTGCTCATGACCTTGCAAGTAAAGGTGTCAGTGCATTTTACGCATCAAAAAATGGAGACAAAACGGGCTAAATTTCAAAATGTGAAAGACATTTGATGTTCTTTTCATCATGCACAATGAGGGTTTTTTATCGATATAACAGAGATCTATGAAGCGGTTCATTGCAATCCCATTGTGACATGTAGTTCCATGTCGCCAGGAGTTTAAAAACACTGTGGATGGTTGATGCCGACCTGCAGAAACAGACGGAATAAAAACCTATTGATCCTCTCCTATTTCCACAAGCACATCAATTTGTGAAAGGTGAATTAATGAATAGACAATAAAGGTAGAACACCGACCAAACGCCGCATTTGTTGAAACCGCAAAATATTGGTCGGTGGGCGGAAATATTGGACCAGGCCACGAAGCTTTTAATCGTTGTTTACCAACGAGGCAGTACTTATAAGATGTATAACCGCAAGGTGCCTTGTAAATAAACAAACGGATTACAGCAGAATGAATTACAGCTAAATCAAGGGGCGGTCATTTTCAGACTTTACGTCAATGCATATAGCTTTCACCTCCGTTTCATAAATAATTATACAAGCCAAGTAAAGTTGTGTCAAAGAAGTTTCAGTGCCTTTACTACTTTCACTAACACAACACTTAAGATGGTCTTCACACTACACCTCACGGTAATTTAAAATGCAACACGAGGTGCATTTTTGTTTACCACGTGAACAACCTTACGATTTCAGAGGCACCCACGCAATATGCAACGGATATTGAACCTTCGTGTTATTTACCGCGATGAGACCGATTTTAACAGACCGTAGCATAACTAACCGTTAAAACCGGTCAGGCTTTCCAGAGTCTACTTCAAACGTCACGTAGATTCGTTCACTTTTTTGCCATCGAAGTGGAACCCCGTCTTACGGCCATCACGATAATACGGCCATCTCGTTATTTACGACCACTTTATTCAATTCTTGGCGTGTTCTTGCCCGCGAGCGAAAGTTCAATCAGTCATTTTCTTTACTTAAACAGTCCCTTTAATACGGCCCGTTATTACAGCCAGATTTAAAAGAAGGGTTGTGATCATTTGAACTTTCTTTGCCAAACTTTTTGACCGAACTTTCGCGCATTTTTCGGCTCGCAAATGCTATTGTTACCTGAGGCTATATTTCGCTAGTTGAATTCTTCTTACTACCGCCCGGCGCGTGAACCAATCAACTGACGCGAGGCAACTGAACTGAAACTGAGATAAGCACGAGGTACAGACAAATGCCAAGTGTTGAATGTTCAATCACTCTGACGAGGGTGTGAAAATCTTGGGTGGTAAGATTAGTGTTTGACATAGATATTTCACGAAGTAAAGCAGCTAAAAAGTACTGCCGAATCTATGATCTTACAAGTTTGAACTGCCAGCGACAACAGCGGAAGTCAGAGTTGCATCATTCAAGCGAAAGCACGATTCCGATGGCGTCTGTAGAGCTCATTTGTCTTAATCGTGTTATTGTTATTATTTCAATTCATTGCTTTGTTTGACGTAGCCGCTCGTTTGCGCGGCTACTGTTAATACGCGGAAAATAACGAAGAAAATGAAAATTCTAGAAGCTGAACAGGGCTTGCCACTTATTTGTTTTCATTTCGAATATTTGACTCTGTAGCGAGAAAACACAGTTACAGTTGGCAAGTAAAATAGTCAGTTTAACAATGCTCCCAGGGTCTTCATGGCCCAGTTAGTAGCTACGGTATGGAACTTGTGCCTGAGCGGGTTTTCATGGCTGAATTAGGTGATTCAAAGATCCCACACTAGCTTTAATTAGCGTTTTATCCGGTTCTGTTTGCGCGGACCGAGGAGACGAACATGGTGGGAAAATCGGTTTTCTATATACTACGGCTCGTGTATTAGCTCTTACGGATACGCAGCGTATGCAATTGTAAAATTCGCGAGTCTGACTGATTCTCCCGTGAACGTTCCTACTTAACAACTGGACGACGAATTCGAAGTTTCTATCGGCTGTTAGTTGGCGAGTGCTGAAGCCTTGAGCCTAATATTTCAACGTGGATAGACACCGAGAGCGAAACCGTCTGATAATTGTTCCAGCCGAACCCGCTAATCAATCTTTTAAATAAAACTTAGTTTTCGTTTAGAAACTTCACGAAAAAGCGAAGTTGATGTCAAGTCGGACTTGCTGCAGTCTATCGATCGTAGAACAGCGCCAGCGCAGCCAATCAGATAGCACGTTTACCTGATAGTTACAGTCAGTGGGTTATGCTGTCCGCTTAGTAGAAGACCCATAAAACACCATTGCTTCGACGTTTTGTCAAAAGGGAAAATTTTTCTTGATTTTAAACTTAAAATAATCCATAAAATGATGGATTTTGGACTGCGATCGCGATCTCCAATGTTCAAACTTACCCCTCAAATTTGTCAGTTCTCCACCCCACCAAGTTCCTTCCTTCCTTCCTCCATCACCTGCTTCACTTGAACTTTCTCAGACATAGTTATTTCAGTTCTGTCATTATCTAGTTATAAGTTTGTGAAGTGTGTATAGAATTGTAGAAAAATAATATGCTGAAATCTGACCTTGACAGTTGATGTATGAGTAAATTTGTCCTCAGGCTGAGATTCCATAGTGCCTAATTAAGTCCTTAGATAACGTCAACAAACGAGAGTGTATCGAGGTTAAACATTGTTCTTCAGTAGGTTGTGCCACCGGGGGGTACGTGATCAAAGCGAAGTGAAATACAGCCATTCTATTATAAACATCGACAAAACAGTACAAGCTGTCTATATAAGTCGCTGCTTCAATTTCTGCCGGAAGCAACATAAAAACCATAATCGCGTTTCAAGTTATAAGAATTCATGTATAATTACTTATGGAGTATCTACGATCATCTTTTTATGCATGAGAGCTAAACGGAACTAATCAACCATAGACGTCAGCATTAACAATCAAAACATTAACAAAAGGAAAAACTACTCTTAACCTTATTGACATTCTGCTCTTATTCTCTCGAAGGAACACGAGAAATAATCTCTTCTCTACATCGAGCTGACTTCATTTTCACCCGGCCATCACAGAGCAACCAAAGATGCACAGGCTAACTAGCAAAGACAAACTCAGCCGGCTGCTCCGCTTAACTCCTCTTATCTTAGTCATAGCTGGGTCTGTTTTAATACTAGTGGGTAACAAGGCTTCCTTAAAGAGCTGTAAAATTGCTGGTCCTGTGGTCGTAGCTGTCGGCGGATTGTCATTACTTTTCATTACAATCTGGAGTACACGCCAAGACAAGCTTGTTGAGAACGCAGTTTGTGAAGAGGCTGTGATCGCAGCAGAACACTTCAATAGAACTGCCTTGAACACTGGCTCTAACGATCCGCAGGGACCGATTCATCACTTCGAAGTAAAAGCACCGTCGGAATCGTCTTGGAAAGAAATGGTACCTCCTTCATACGAAGAAGCTGTTGACAATAATAACGGTATAGGAAATTCGCAAACTAGCGCTGAAGTTGTATCATGTGATGATGACAAAGAAGCGAGTTTGGAGAACACGACTTCTGCACCCCCGTCTTACGAAGAAAGACATGAAAATGCGACGACAGCTTCATAATCATCCTTACTGGTCCTCGTGAATTTAGTGCAAACAAATAACTCCTTCTTGGAAATAAAAAAAACCCTGTGGGCCGAGAATGAAAAGGAGGAAAACGTTGTACGACATGCGGAAGTTTAATATCACTGCAAGAAATTGCGACAAAATAAACTTGGTGACGAAGTAAATTGAAAGTAACTCATTGGTAGAACGTTTGCAAATTCGGGAATTTGTTATAAAGGAGATATCATAGCTCTCGAAAAATTTCTGTTTGTTGACGGCTAAACAGGTTTTAGGCCGGTGTAGCTGCATACTCTACATCCTAGATTTTAGAATCTAACTGATTCAAACGAAACAAGAAATATTCACAGGAAGATAGCAAACGATGCATGGCGTCTGGCTAAGCCAATATCATTTTTTAAGAACACGTTCGCCCGTTTACAGTGATTGGTGTACAAAAGAAGTATCCACATTTTGTATAAAACACAAAATAAAGTAAATTGTAATCAGTATTGACTTACTGATCTTCAACTGAATTCGCCGCAAAACTAGTTAAAAGAAGAGTCGTACATGGAATTCAGTCAATTATGACACGGATGAACAGAAATTTCGTCGGTAAACGCGTCAGGGAAATTATATTTGCTTTTTTAATTCTTGAGTCAAATTTAGTAAAGTTACGTATGTAACGATAGCAGCTCGATTGCTCCCACTAACTTGCTGAACACCGAGGTTATTACATGGGAATATTTTTGTCCTTATTCATCACTATATACAGAAGGCTGAGATCAGTAATAGCTAAGAATTTCTCAGTTGTTTTAACTGACAGCTCAGCGAGATCTGAATTCGGCCCGGAAAGTTACAGGAAGTTGAGAAATAAGCTAAAATGTTAAGTGAAAATGTAACTGGCAAAGCCAGAAACCAGCATCAGACGCTCCATGTAGCTGAAGCCGTGAAATGTGGAGAAAAGGTTAAAATACGTTCTGTATATACAACACAAGTTAAGCACAGACACTACAAAAATCGAGGAAGTAAAGAACTTCAAATTGCTTTTTTTTACGGTAAGGCAACGCCCGTTGATATTTGTTTTGTCTTAAGAACGGCGCCTACTTTTGTTAGTGCGCACACGTTCTGCGCATCACGCAAGGCATGGTTTAAGCGCCATGCGCGCGCTGGGTTGACATTGACGCAATCAACTACGCTACCAAGTGCACGACTAAAATGAAAGCGAAACTTTACTACTGTGACCAAATCAAGTTTATGAACCTGTACTTAAACCAGGAACACTAGAATAGCAGCATATCACTAACCACTAACTGTTAACGTCTTCCAGCTGAAAAACTAGCTGTTTTCTGTCGAAAACTATACTGAAATCCAACTGTAAACATACACCAGCAGATGGCGTAGTGCGCGCGCAAAACAAGTGCGAGATACGCAAATGTTTTACTTACTGGGGAGGTGACAGGAAAAAATGTTACGGGCACCGTAAAAGTTTTCAAAAAAAGATCAATAACTTTAAAAAACGCGTGATTACCCCCACATTTTATGTTATGAAAAAGAAGTGGTAAGCCTATTCAACACGTGATTAGTTTCTGGTTGTGAGCAAAAGGTATTTAGACTGTATTTAAGCTGAACCAGAGGAAGTCTGTCAGAGACGCCAAAAGCGCTTTTGCAACGATTTTGTTATTAAAAATATACCAAAAATGGTTTTTATGTTACTATTTACCATAAAGTTTTAAGATCTTTATAAATGTATTTGCTCTTCTGTATGTAAAGGCGAATTCTAAGGAAATCTACGAAGAAATATCCTCTCCTTCATTTTTTAAAAAATGCTGATATCAGCATTTTTGCTGAGATTCAAGGCTAATTATCCCGAAAATATGCGCGGCTACCCTCATTTTTCTTTGTGGATTCCAATAGCCCTTGCAGAGATCTACTTTTTCCACATGGTCCTAACCTGGCGCAAAAACCTTTGTATTTAGTAGGCACCGTCCTTAAGTCCAATCAATTGTTCTCCATTCAGCTCAATACAAGGTGCTGTATAATATATAGATTTAGGCCAGCCTAAAAGCGTAACTCCTGGGCCGGGTTGTTCAGAGCCCGATTAAGCTAACCCAAGAAAAGGTAGAATCTTGATTTGAGTTTTTGTAACTTTGCGGTGAGGTTTTCTGTATATTGTTTGGCCTTCTGTTCTGAGTTTTAATAATTACCATATACATAAAACAAAGCAGCAAAAAAAAAAAAAAAACATTTGTGTAGAAGAAAAAGTTATAATTCGGTAAACTTTTAATCCTGGGTTAGCGTTAACCGGCTTCCGAACAATCCTGCCCTGTTTTCAACAAGTTAACCTGACATGAGCCCGCGATTCAATCGAGCCTGCACATGGTCNCCTGGGTTAGCGTTAACCGGCTTCCGAACAATCCTGCCCTGTTTTCAACAAGTTAACCTGACATGAGCCCAATCGAAAACCACCATTAGGTCAGCGGTCAATTCCCAAAAAACTCGTGACCTCGATGAGCTGTAAACTTGAACCCGTGATATGGTCACGTGATATTGGTCAGCGGATAGCCTTAATATTATCATTATGTGAGGGGGGGTTGAAATTAATTTTTGCTTAATGAGAGGGGGGTATGACTTAGTTTTGGGGCATATCTCACCCATTACCCAGCCCTCCCTCCAGGTAATTATTGCACAGTCCCTAAATTAGACTAAGCGATTCATAGCTAATATTCTGCCGTAAGCTATGTGAGATACAGTCTATGTAATAAAACAAAAAAAATTGCTTTATGAAAGTACAGACCTCAGAGTTAAACATTGCAAATACATTTTTAAATGTGTTTAAGGGGGTCTTCTACCCTCAGATATAAATTTTTCTCTAAACAAACATTTTTTCGGAACATGAAGATTCAACATCCCTGACCATTTGCAAATCGTGTTTTGAAACGATTTTGCTCTAATTACTCCTTGATTTCAGTTTAAATTAAGAAATCTGCAAACTGGTAGCTATATTTCAACATAGCAACACCCATAACAACCGTTGTTTACACTCTAAAAGTACTCACAAAATGGGTTCAATTCAGTACATTTCAATGACACTTTACAGAAAAGTTTAAGATATGTATGCTTATGAGAATTTTGCATCATGGCCCTGAACATTGTTTTCTCTACCATCTTGTACACTCTTTACACTTGGTTAACATTTCTATGTGTATGCGGGTATTCAATGGAATATTTATGTAAAACCTTTCGATACACCCTCTCCCCCTGCCTCTAACCCCCCTTCCGTTTACAGGGCTAATTTGGGCTCTCGAAGACCGAAGTAGAACTTTAAAGCCTTATTTCTCAAAATGACCAAATAGACGGATTACGAATATCTCGCACACGATATGTCCACTAAATTAGCGACATTCACGGAAACGGCTTTAAACGTTAAACTTTCCAGTTCAGTCTAGAAGGCACGTATGTATTGGGGAGTAGTAAACAAAACCGTCAATGTCATTTGTTTCTTAGAAACTCGTGATATCAGCGGAAGTTAATTAAATATGGGAGGGACATCTATTTTGGAGCTGTTTATGCCCACCGGGCGGCTTGAAATTGCTAGCAGTACATTGTATGTTATTGTTTCAATGCACATGCTTGACGCAGGTTACGTTTGTAGTAGAATTACGTAGTCTTTGAGGAATAATGAAGTCGTCTGTGCCTCGTTCAAAAACAAACGCGGGAAAACTCTCATAGTCCAATAGTCAAAATTTTAGAGAATATTTGTTCTACTCAGGGTTGCCCATCAAATTTGTCCTCCGCCTCTTCCTTCCCTGCGCCCCACCCCACTTAACTGATTCCTTTCTCTATCATATCCTGTACCGAAACTTTCTTAGAATCGACTGATCTGGAATATTAGATATTTCAGCTCTGCAGTCATTGTATTGTCATAAAATTTGTAAAGTTTGTATATTTAGGCATTACAGAAACAAAATATGCTAAATCCAGTTAAGTTTATTGTCCTTAGGTCGAGCAATTTTACAGCTTTTTCAGCAAACAGTGTTACCCACTATTATTAAAACGGAACCAGCTATGACTAAGATTAGACCAGAGGAGTTACGCGGGGCAGCCGGCTGAGTTTGTCTTTGCTGGTTAACCTGTGCATCTTTGGTCGCTCTGTGATGGCCGGGTGAAAATGAAGACAGCTCGATGCAGAGAAGAGATTATTTAACCGACAAAGTTGTTAAATTTTTTGTTGAACCGACTGCTTAGAACTGATCTGACTAACTATTATTCAGACTACGAGAGTTTTCCCGCGTTTGTTTGTGGACGAGACAAAGCCGACTTTTTAACCTGCGAGAAACATGTTCAAAGTCGCCAAGCAGAAACCGCTACAAAACAGATATTCCGCCTATATTAATTGAACTTCCGCTAGTATTACAGGTTTCTAAGAAA